ATTTGTAAAATGAAAGCCAGCATGGTGTAGTGGTTTGAGCGCTGGATTATAATGCTGGAGACTAGGGTTCGAATCCTCACTCAGCCATGGAAACCCATTGTGTGACTTTGGGCAACTGTCTCCGCTGTAGAGGAAGGCAAAGGCAAACCTCCTCTGAACAAAAATCTTCAACAACAGCAGCATACTGTACTTTAGAGTTTTGATGGAACCTCAGCAATGACAGCAAAACCGTCATTTGTTAAACTGAATATGAAATCTCAAAAGTGACATTGGAGTTCCACTTTCCCCCTCCATTGCAACTTCTCGGTGCTAATCCGCAGGACTTGCTGAGTGATGCTTTGCAGATTGATGGTGCTGGCAGATTGTCTAGTGCTTGGCGCTGTCATCTCTTGCCGAGCCAAAACTCTTGTTAGCAACACCTGATCTGAGCGATTCTGTCTCCCCAATTAACAGATGTCGCCGTGACAAATACTTTTTATTGGTCACGCAGCCATTACAATTAGAAGTCAGAGGAGTATCCATCATCTGGCAGCATTAAGGAAGGCTGCAAAGTAATTTATGATGCTCTCCTGGAATACATAATAACAGTGAAATATTTCCAGAGGTGCGCCATCTATTACTCCGGTGCTAATGCAATCCGTTGATTGCTATAAATCACAAGCTTGGTGTTAATGAAACTTTTTTTCCTTTTTTGGCAAGGCTGTATAACTGCGTGAAAATAAATGATGCAGGTATGTTTTAGGTACAGAAACTAATTGGGATAGTTTTTCCTCCTCCGGTGCCATCTCTTCTTTGGAGCCCAAGCAATGATCTGTGTTATCTCTAAAGTGCCTCCACTAAATCTTTTCAAATGTCAGACAAGAGCTAATATTTACATCAGAATAATAACTACAATTACTTACCCGCTTTTCCAATTCATTTGGAGTCAATTATTCCGTGGTGCGGGGTGCGGAATCGAGCTTTACTGGAATATGGGAAGAAGTTTAATTAATCCTGTTCCACATACGGCCGTCTGATAAATGAAATTCAGCTGGTAATTTAAGAGCTTGGGGAAACAGCGTGAGATGAGTGACTGACAGTTTAATTTATTATAAAGAACGGTCCTTCTCTCTTGTCCTGACATTTATCCCGGTTCTCCACTTAATGGTTTTAACTGGGCCAGTGATGGTAACCTGCCTCCTTGAAGACTTCTCCTGCTTCACTTTATGGACTTCTTCTTCTTCTTGTTCTTGTTGCTTTTGCATCCTTTTATTTATTATCCCCCTGGGGCTCTCTCCTTCCATCAAAACAAGGATTAAAGAAAGAGCTGTAAAACACCAGCAGTTGCATTGCAAGGTTTTTTTTTAAGGACTTGAGGAATAGGATAGATTTATTGAGAGGATCTTTTTGGCTGGCTGATATGTTTTCATCATCAGAGAGGGGAACGGGGATAATTGGATTTGAATGTCAAGTTGTTCTTTGGGCACATCTCAAGCCATGCATCTATTTTCTCAGCAGTTGGGGACGGATATAGGGAGGTTAGCTGGGTTTTCTTTTGTTCCAACACAACTTTTGCATTTATGAACGTTGCATCCAGCTGTTGCTCATGTAGGTAGGAAGACTCCTTCCAGACGGTACGAAATCAAAAATTATCATTTCAAAACTTTGCACACTTTCATGAATGGAGGAATGAGCATATATCAACTTAAACCACTGGTTTTGATAAGTAGCACAAAAGTCAGAATCATACAGGCCATCGTATCCCCTTTTACCATGGATGGATGTGAGAGCTGGACAGTTAAGGATGATAGGAGGAAAATCAATGCATTTGAGATAATGTAGTTCTGGAGAAGAATGCGGAGGATCCCATGGATGGGCAAAAGGACAAACAAAGGGGTCCTAGAGCCTTGGAGTGTCTCATTTGATCTTTTAAACTGATGTATATTTTAACTCAGGGGTAGGCAACCTTTCCCCTTTAAGGGCTGAGGGACTTCAGCTCCCAGAATCCCAGGAGCTATTGGCCAACATGGGACTATTGGCCAACATGGCTGAGGCTTCTGGGAGCTGAAGTCCCTCGGCCCTTAAAGGGGAAAGGTTGCCTACCCCTGTTTTAACTGATCTTGTGTTCTTAATTGATGCATATTTGTTGGTCAGTTGTTGTTCTCCACCTTGATCCATGGGGAGAGGTGGTTAAGAAATAATAATAATAAACTAATAATAATAATTGTTATTGGGTATTATTGAGGGAAGGGTAGGGGTGGTTTATAACACAAGTCCAAAACACACTGCAGAAATAATCCAGTTTGAGACTGCTTTAACTGCCTTGGCTTAATGCTGGGGAATGCTGGGAATTGTAGTTTTGTTCTAGCACCAGAGCTCGCTAGATTTCTAGGATCTGTAGTTTTAATAATAATAATAATAATAATAATAATAATAATAATAATAATTTATATCCTACCTCTCTGCGTAATGCAACCAGGGTGGCTTACATTAAAATATGCATCCCATATCCCACAATCCCACCCCCCCTTAAAATACTATTTTTGGGAAACATTCAGCCTTCTGTATCAGAGAGCTCTGGTGCCACAATAAACTACAATTCCCAGGGTTCCCTAGCACTGAGCCAGGGCAGTTAAAGCAGTCTCAAACTGGATTATTTCTGCAGTGTGCTTAGGACCATAGTGGCCGGTGTCCAGTTGAGGCAATGGGCCCTATCTATGGAAGCCACTGGACGTTTTCTTCCAATGCACAACATCTGCATTCTGTTCAAGGTGGCAGAAGTGGACTGTCGCATAGGAAGATGCACAATCAGGCCAAGAGCCATGATGGATCTCCATGCGAGGGACGGTCGGTCAGCTGAGCCGAGGGACAACCAGGCGACGTCCATCCCCGCTGTCATCCGCTTCACTCCGGCTACCTGTCACCACCAGAGACAAGTCCGGATGCTCTATAAAGCCAAAGCAGGAAACCTCATAGCCTCCAGTGACTGGAGCCTAGAGACAAGCAAGCAGTTGGTTCAAATTGGAAGAACACGCTCCAGATGGATTGCCACATACAAGGCACACAACCGGAACGCGCCTGCCTGGTTTTGTCCTTCATCATGGACGCTGCAGAAATATTATGGCCTGATTGCATATGGGAGAGGGTTATATATTGCATTTCTGGAATTTCAGTGGATCTATGGGCCACTTTTCTGCTCCCAAACAAAATAGAAACAGACGTGGTTGGAAACCCAATTCTAGCTTGGAAAAATGATTCCAGGAGATGCCATGACCAGGTACAAAAAATGGCACAGAATTGTGCACCTGAATGGGTCTTCTGTTCTGAAGTGACATAGGCTGCTGACATAGTTTTACAAGGTCTTTTGCCTTCTCTGAGAAATAGGGGGGAGAAAAGGGGGGGCTGCGGTATAAAGTGATAAATACCCAGAAGTGCTGAAGGCACTAGATTGCAGGAAAGAACAAAGAAATACAGGTGTAAAAGAATAAGAATGATAGCTAACCAAAACTGAGCTTGTGTTTTGCCTTCTCTCCCAAAGAGTGCTTTTGCCTCACTAACTACAAATCCCAAGATTCTGTAAGATGGAGCCATGGCAGTTAAAGTGGTGTCAAACTGCATTCTTTCTACAGTGTAGATGCAGCCTAAAAGTCCCTTTCCAAACTACAAATCTCAGGATTCCAATAGGATGGAGCCATGTCAACCAAAGAGGCATCAAAATGCTTCAGTTGGGTAATGTAGATGCAATCCCAATCTCTGAGCTCTAGGACACTGCAAAGCAAAATACTGGAAAAGGGTAGGATTTAACATTGCAAACTTTCCCCTTGCAGATGGAGGTGGATGTGCATGGTCCTCCTAGGAAGGCCTGGGAATATTGCAAATCCCAATGGAAAGGCTGGAAATCAAATGCATCTGCAGGCTGAACCCCTCTTTTTTCTTTTTCCCTCCCTGGAATTTGGATTTGGTTTGCTACGGATCAAAGGGCAAGCTGCCCACCTTTGCAAAGCAAAATGTGCAAAGTGTGCGAGAAAACGGAAAGCTAAATAAACTCAGATCTGGAGTTGAAGAGCAATGAAGCAATGAAGGAAAAATCTGAAAGAAAGTGGGGGGAAATCCTTTAGGGTTTGGATTAATTTGGATTAATTTTAACTGGTAGGTCCAAGCTCCGTAATGGGCAGTTACAAAATCCAAAAGAAATATGGGTAGGACATTTTGGAACACGTTTTACTTTCAGATTTCCCCAATGCACGCCCCTAACATTTTGCATGAAAAGAAAACATTCCGCTTACTAAAATGCACCTGAAAAGTGGTTAGCGTTTCCCTGCTAAAATAAACTTTCCATAAAACAACACATGAGAATGAGTATCTCTGAAAGGCGACTGCACATCTCTAGCATTTTGTGCTAAAAAACATGTTCCAATTGCTGCAACGATCCAGAGGAGCTATTAGCTTTTTCGTGCTAAAATAAAGCTTTTTGTAAAACAAAATGTGACAGTTGTTTGGCGAAAAGTGATAAAAGGGGATGCTTTTATCTCTGCTGTTTTCTCCCAGCAAACTTTTTTTAATTCATATTCAGAGCCATTCTTCCGTATGATACATCCAAATATATAGCAGAAAGGTGGAAAGAAAGACAGGTAAATCAGCATCGGTAGGGCTTAATGTTCCAGGTTGTTTTGCCCGTGGAAAAGCAATGGGATTTAACAATAACGATAATACAAATAATATCCTCACAGGTTTTTGTCCTCAGTAGGAAAGAGTGTCATGACACACGGGCAAAAAAATGTCAAATGGCACAAGATTTGTTCACTTCTAAGCAGGGCTGGCAGGATTTCACAAGGCAGTTTTTGCACAAAAAGCCAGTCTAAATCCTAGGATTTCTTGTAGTTGTGTGCCTCCAGGTCATTTCTGACTTATGGCAACCCTGAGTCGACCCTATCATGGGGTTTTCCTGGCAAGATTTGTTCAAAGGAGGTTTGCCCCGGCTTTCCCCTGAGGCTGAGAGAGTGTGACTCAGTGGGTTTCCATGGCTGAGCCGGGATTCGATCCCTGCCCTCCAGAGTCGTAGTCCAACACTCAAACCATTATGCCATGAAACCATTAAAACTTATGGTGACCCTTTCATGGGGTTTTCTTGGCAAGATTTATTCAGAGGAGGTTTGCCACTGCCTTCCCCTGAGGCTGAGAGAGTGTCACTTGCCCAAGGTGACCCAGCAGGTTTCCATGGCTGAGCTGGGATTCGAACCCTGGTCTTCAGAGTCATAGTCCAACATATGGCTATATCGATATGTTGACTCTTTAATTGTTTTGGGTCTAATCTAATTGGGACTAACCAACAGGATTCTTGCCTCCCTCCTCCTCCTCCTCTTCTTCTTATATCTTTCATCCTTTTTTGGCAATGAGAACTGTAGGCAGAGAAATCAAGATATGGATTGGAGCGGCAATGGAGGAAAGGGGCAAAGAGGTAAAGGACTAAGCCTCCCCCGACTGCCTCTGCACTGCAGAATTAATGCAGTTTGGTACCGCTTTAATTGCAGTTGCTC